TGTTAAACAATGATTGAATTCCATGACGACGGAAGATGTTGAATCACCAACCCCCCTGCAGAAAGGGTGATCAAGCCGGCCTGCTTCCAATCTCTAATTAGATTCACGACAAAATGCGGCATATCCCAGTTGCGCTCCCTTCCAAGCACCGACCCGTTACACCAGAGATTGGCAGGCGGCGAAAGATGAATAGGTCCTCGGCAAATAGTGCCCACAGCTTCAGTCAGTCATTGAAGCCATGCAGGAAAGGACTCGGGCGACGCAGGTTCTGACTGCCGTTTACCGGATTCCCATCGAACTTCCTGGCATGCTGACTTCTGCTGTCACTGAGACCTTTGGAAAGCTTACCCTTCTACGATTCCTCCTTGCGGTCATTGTCACGGGCGCTCAAGCCAAGACGGCTGAGGACGCGGAACCCCAGAAGCCACCGGCCAAGGCCATCAAAGTGCTGAGTGACAGCGAGTCGTCTGGTGACGACGATGAGGATGACAGCCCCCTGACCTTTGAGTGGACCACAATCATCAAAAAGTCCTTGGTTGCTTCAAACCCAAAGCCTGTGGAGGAAAGGAAAAAATCGCTCCTCAAGGCACCCAAGGGGTGCTCTGTTTGTCATGATCCTACCCGCAGAGGAAGACGGATGTTACTTTGTGGTGGTCCGCCAGCGCTATCTGCCCCTTGCGATGAACGTGCTTGACAACCCGCCGTCTTTTCTTCAGTTCCACCTTGGCGAGTTGTCGTTCCCCAATTTCATCCAAGTTATCAAGAACTGGTCAGCTACCAACCTCGCCTACCAGAATCGCAAGCTTCATGTTGAATGGGTCCCGTCGGAGCTTCTCTCCCGCTGTATTGACGACCCTACCAACAATCAAGGTCCTCAAGTCCGCGACCCCATGGACTTCCTTCTCTGCATGGAAGACCCCATGGAGATTCTCGAGGGCGCCCTCCACATCGACATCCACGCCAAGCATGTTTGGGACGTGGACGATGGCCTTTCCGTGATTGGTTACCTTGACGACTGGAACGAGAATCAGGCTCAGCTCCAGACCGCTCTTCAGACCATCAAGACCATTACTGACGAGACGAACAGTCTGAACCGTGACCTACAGTCCGTTTGTGACGAATTGGAGGCGATGAAGGCTGTCCAAGAAGCAGCTGCTGCTATGGCAGCGTTGTCTACAACTGCTTGGCCTGTTCCGATGCTCACAGTGGACGTCCCTACAGATCCACCGGGCCAAACACGCGTCAGCACTACTGCACTACTCAGTCCCTCGGCTCGTACCAATGCTTCACCAGCGACGGCTCAAGAAACGGACAGAGAAGATGGGGAGGACCAACCCAATGCGTCCTCTCCTATGGACACCGGTCGTGGGGTTATCAGTACCCCAACGACGGGTCCATGATAAAAAAAGATTGCCTGCCGCTCGGTTGCGGCGTGATGGGCATAGATCGTTTATCACCAGCAACCGGTAAAGAGCGGCTCCACACACCTCTCTTGGTTCCCGTTTAAGTCCCTTCCTTCCAGGAGATGGTTTTGGTGACAACCATCTTGTTCGTGCAAAGGGTTCCGCCCGATTCGCCTTCCAGCATATTCACACTATTCCCGACGAGTCGGACGACCCTAAACAAGCACAACTGAACCACTGGATTTGAAGCGAATGTGTTGACTTTTTACTACTGGCGGAATTGAACAAATTCTGGCCAGCAATTACACCAACCAACCGATGGCGTGAACGAGCCAGCACCATGGCTCGGAAGGGCGAAGGTTTCCACTCGGCGGTGCCCTACAACACCCATCAACCACGGGCGTCCCATTCTACCACCCAATTTGGGGGCTGTTCGACTTCTGCCTTCAACAAAGTACCTCACTGAGTCCGGTCCAGTGGCGACGATAGCTTGGGGCGATGAGCCTGGATTCGACTTCAAGGCCGAACACGAGGCGTTGGCCAGCGAGACTTGGTGGTCATTTCTGCATACCGACCAAACCCACCAAACGATGGGCATCAGACCGTGTGGTTCCAACACAAGGCCCATTTCAGCCGCACCAACCGCGACGCAGAACCAAGGGAGGCTTTCATCAAGGACCTCTCCATGGCAATCAACAACTGGCGCGACAATGGCTGTTCCATCATCTTGGGCATCAATGCCAACAATGACTTGTCCTCCTACTCCCCAAAGTCTTTCTGTTATCCGATGAGCGAAGTGGGACTGATCGAGGCAATCCAGTCCAAACACCCAGGGTCCCATCAGGCCACTTACCAGCGGAACCTCTGTGGGTATCCAATTGACAGTATCTTTGCGACGCCTGACGTGCCCATCCTGGCCGCCGGGTACTACCCTTTTGACAAACACGTTGCCTCCGATCATCGCGGCCTGTGGATTGACTTTGACTTGAACAGTCTCCTCGGTGGCCACCAACCTACAAAATCCACCCATGTTCTATGCCAGCTGGTGATGCATAACAAACGGGTTGTTCAACGATACGTCCAATTGGCGGAGCAGGGTTACACACGGTACAATATTCCAGGTCGTCTCTCTACTCTCGGATTCGACGTTGCCCGACAGCAGGGCGGCATCACCAAATCCCAAGCGGTCAGATTTGATCGGATACATTCCGATGCCTACACAGTTTGACGATTGGCGGAGCAGAACTGTAGGAAGTTGTCAATGGGCGGGGCAGAATGGTCTCCGACAGGCCAATCCATTCGGGACCGGATCACCTTGTGGCGCCTTCTCCTCAAGGGCCGACGTCAGTGCCGTGTTAGCTCCAGGAAGGTTCGCCGCCTGCTGCTGAAGGCGAACGAGCCCTTGGCCTGGAAGTTGATTACAGCCAAACTTGAATCACACCTCACCCAAGACCTTGGTAAATACACACCTCACCCAAGACCTTGGTAAATATAGAGAAGCCACACGGGGCCTCACTTCTAAATGGCGGAAGGCTCATGTCACTACTCGCACCCAGAGCATTGCTAAAGTCCGCCACAAGACGGCAAGCCAACGCAAACAATACCACCGCTTGCGGTCTATGAAGCAACGCGAGGAGACTTGTCGGAGGCGCAACGCTCGTTCCTCCGGTTTGTCTGGCGGTAGGACAGCTCTGGCAATTGTCGGTTACAGACCATTACTGACCCGACGTCGGTTGAAGATGGGTGCATGCAAAAAAATCGGGCCCGGTACCAACAAACTCAGACCCCACCCCCAACTCCTCCTATGTCTGAGCCACTCTACACTATATTTACGGGCCCCAATAATAATAACTGAGACATTAATCATTAATATGCTACTCTATGGGCATTCAATTGCCGGTGAAATATTCGGCTGTAAAGGTCAAGTACTGTGAAGCGGTGAGTCAACAACAAGTTTGAACCATATGAGGCATCTGTATTTTGAACAGAAGTTGCTCAAGTCTCCCAAAGGGGTAAAGA